GTTTCAGTGGAGTGGCTCTTTTTGAACCCAGATTAGTAAGTGTCAAGCAGACAGTTTTGTGAGAGGTATTATGTGATCTGCTTGAAAGCCGCCCTTTCAATGATTTTGGACAGGAAAGGGAGGAGAGAGAATGGTCTAGCCTGGCAAGCCAGACTAAATAAATGTATTATTTAGTCTGGCAATGCTCCATTGACCGTGCTCGGTTGTGGGGCGGGTTCTACCATTGGCTTTCAAATGATCTCCGCATGCTACTGGACAATGAATGTGACATACTCTTGTTTCACTCTGTTGCATCATCCCACCCACCAGGCATACAGAGTGCCCTGATTGGCCCACAAAGCGGATAAAGCTCTGTGATTTGTTCCCTAAGCAGATAGAGCACTATGATTGGCCCACCATTATGGACCAATCACAGCTCTTTATGTGTTTGAAACCCCTCTAGAGAGCTGTGATTGGCCAGCCAGAATGCTGTTGGGGCTGCAGAGGTTCCAGTGGAGCATTCCTAGACCAAACTTTGCAAAGCAAGAATTTGGTCTAGTTCACTAGGCTAAGATAGGTCGGTAGTTCTCCACATGATTTATGTGCGATTCCCACTGCTGGCTAGCCTAGATTTAAGCTGGCAATTACCTATTAACTATCCCTGCAACCTGCTAACAACTGTACACCCAAAGACGTGAATACATAGACGCCTCTTTGGGTGCTGGAGAGCATAACAGCGTTGGCGCCATTATGGATGGTTTCTTCACTCTCCAAAGCCAACTGCAGTCAACGTAGAGTGAGCAACTATGCCCGTTTTCTGTGCAGCCACGTTTGCGACAACCAGCGTACTATTGAAGAGAGATCACATGGGATTACTATGGACTTCTCTAGCCTACCTGTTGAGATTTTATATTTTAATTTATTTTGTATTTAATTATATTTATATTTTAATTATCATGCCATACTAGGTGTCAGAGTTTGTGAAAAAGCGTGTTTTCCAGTTGGGTAAACACCTTCCTCAGTAGTAAAAAATGAACTGGGGGAGAATGGACACCCATCCAAGATGGCGGCCAGCCACTAGGGCAGGTCTCCAGTGCCAATTCACGGGGTGTCTACGCATATTATGTCTGTGTGTACACCTGGTTGACTGTTTAGTTAGCAGTGCATTTTTACTATTGTTAAAAGCAATAGAAGATGATGGGTACTTTAATGTTCTTATTTTCTGTTGAGGTAAAGACTCAAGCTGCTTTTTAACTTCTCATAGCACAGTGGTGTCCGGTCATGGTCCACAGAGACACCATCCTACATGTCTCAGAGGTTTCTACGCTCCAGTGCACCTGATTTTAATCAGTTGGTGATTAACAGGCTTCGGAAAAGTGTGATGAGATCAGAACAGGTAATTGAAACATTATCAAGTGTGTTGAAGCAGGGAGAAAACTAAAGCTTGTTTGATAGTGGCCCGCAAGGACCAGAACTGTCCATCACTGCCAAAGCATGGCCTTGCTACTAGTTATTTATATGTTTTTTTTTTCAACATTAACCTGTCAAGGGCCTGTGCAAATAGGTTGGACTGAGATCTTAAATAGTTTTAGTTAGAAGTTATGGGCAGTGTCACGGCGTGTGGGCGAGGTGAGCGGAGGTGAGGATCCACACGCGGGGAGGAAGACAGGCAGACAGGTAAGAACTTCTAACATTGGTTTATTCAACACACGCTGGACAATGAAGCAATGGACAGACACAAGACACAGAACAGAAGGGGCTTAAATACAGGAGGGCAGGGAGCTAAGGTCATTGGGAAACGAGACAGGTGGGAGCAATTAACGAGACACAAGGCTGAACCAAAACAGGGAGACAGGACAGGGTGTGACAAGCAGTTTAAACCTGCTTTATTGAGGCATCAATATTTACAATAAATAAAACAGGTATTGGTCTATTCCAAAATGGACAACCCATTTTACAGGTATCTGGATGATTTAAAAAAAAAAAAGTATAAATTAACTTATTGCAACTAAATGTACTGGGAAAATGAACAGTTGGTCATAGAGGAGCAGGATTAAGACTTTGAATCAGCTTGAGCAACACCTAAAATTCAAATGTGATTGTTTTAGTTTTTTTATTTCCAGTCAGCTCAAAGTTGTAGGAGGCAGAACTTGAAACTTTCTCTGGAATCATCCACAAGAGGACACTTGTTTTGCTTCAGCTTTTGTATTTCATTTCCTGTGTTAGTTATCTGTGTTAACCCAATAAAATAGAAACTGACAGGTGATGGTGAAGGCTGTTGTTGTTTCAGGAAACAGCAGAAAATGTTTCCATTAGTAGAAGCTAACCTTTGGCATTAACCCCACCACACGGCAAAACTCCTTCAGGCTTGTGTTATTTGTGAAGATAAAACAAAAGCAAACAGAGTCAGTGGTAGAGTTGTGTTGCTGTTAGCCTATCAGCGATGACATGGCCAAATATCAGGAAATAAGACTCAAAATATTTAAATCTGAAGCTCAGCTCTGATCTGGTAATCTTCTAGATGACAATTTACCCGTAATTGTCATAGGATGTGAATCTCCACCTCTGAGGCCAATTCTATTCATATCTAGATATGGATTAACAATACGGTGAAAGCCTGCCCATCCCTGCTAACGATTCATTGTTGATTTGAAAACGATTTTTGATTCGATACAATTCATGATGCGATTTTAAACAATTCAACATGTTAAAAATAATTTACGAGCTCACATCTGGTTTTTAAACATTGTCACTTTATCACAATGTTATTATTTGTAGATTACATATTATACATATTTTTATGGCTACAATACTCTGTTGGGGTTGAAAGGAGGTTTAGTCAGTCACTGTGCTCAGAAAAATAAATCAACAGAATCAGAAAATTATTAGCATTCATCTTGTAATTATTAGAAATTATTATGAAACACTGTAAGCATCTGAACATAATTTTTAAATATTGTAATGATCCATAAGGGGTTATTGTGAGAGCTGCTGTAGCCTAAAGTTACGGTTTCCTTGGGAGAAATGTGAATGCTGGAGATGCAGGGAGATGTGAGTATACCTCAGCTGTTTTATTGGGCTTCTCTGAGCCACTGAAAATGTCATTCCTTCTGGAGGTTTTTAGTTCTGCACAAATGTTACAAAAATAAGGAATTATCTTAAATCACCTCACACAAAGCTTCAGGTGTGTAGATCCGTAAGAATGCTTTTACAAATACCCTGCTGCAGAAACCAGAGACCGTGTCACATAGAAGTTTATTTTATTTTGGCAAGTTGAGACAGGAAGCATGTACATCAGTTAATGGTGTCCCAAAATGGTCCCACTGAAAGAGATGAGGCATTCAATGCGCCTCAAAAAATGAAGACACGACAGGTAAACTAAGAAGTAATCGATGTAACCGTGGTTTTCACCAACGAGTGACCCGCATAACAATATAGCCGTCAGTTGTAACCGATGCAGACTGAAGCTACCAGTGCAATCGCATTGTTAACGTCATTAACGAACCACCAGTTCAGATCGGTGAATCTCTCCATCCCTAATTCCCTCACACATTCACATGCTGATGGTGATGAGATACGATGTAGCCGCAGCTGCCCTGGGGCACATTGACAGGGGTGAGGCTTCCAAGCACAGGTGCCATCAGTCCCTCTGACCACCACCAGCAGGCAAAGATGGTTAAGTGTCGTGCCCAAGGACACAACGGCAGCATTCTCTGGCAGGAGCTGGGATCAGACCTACAACCAATTACTACAACCCACTCCACCTCTTGTGCTGCTGCTGCTGCTCCGCTGATCCTGAAACAGACGCCCCTTTTGTACCCAGAGTATGACTTACAGGGCATTCATTCCTACTAAAGATCACTGCAGATGTATTTATTAAATGAGTGCGGCACTCCTTTAAATAAAACACAAAAAATTTCAAAATTTCCTCTTGGAAAGCCGTATGTGAGTCTTTATTTGCATCATATTGACAAATATGTGACACAATGGCATTGTGAGCAATGTTTGAGGGCAATATTGATTTAGCAGAAGGTTAGGAGTTTCCCTGTAACTGGTGGTTTGTGGTTTTGAACCCAAGCTCTGTTTGTTCCAGTTGTTGTGTCATTGTGCAAGACTCTTTATCCCCTTACTTGCTGGTGGTTGTCGGAGGGACCTGAGGTGCCTGTATACAACAGTCTGGCTCCAATGTCTTCACAGGCTGCTGTGGCTACATCGTAGCTCATCACCATAAGTGTGTGAATGATTGTGCTGTAAAGTGCTTTGGAGTTCTTTGAGAAGAAAAAGCACTAATCAAAAACAAGAAATGTACCACCTCTACTGTTGTCATTGCATCTTAAACATGCGTTGCTCCTGAAACAAAAAACATTTACTTTACTGTTTTTTTATTACGTTGACATTCTTTTAATCATTTTTCTCGCTCCAATCGTAACAGTTTTAAGCACTGTTACTGCCTCAGCAATCTGATTTATTAACCCGAACTCTACATAGAATTAGAAAACAGTATTTTATATAGTGCCTCTCAAAATAAAAATCACGGGGCGCTTCACAGAAAAAAAAAATTTAAATGATTTTTGTTTAATTATTAAAATATATATTTAAAATGATCAAATAAATTAAAAAAATGTAAGGGAAGGGAGAGGGGAAATGAGTCACTTATTGTACATTATAATTTTAGAGTAACACTTTACAATAGGGGTTCCTTTATTAACTTTAATGCATTATTAAGCATAAATAAATAAAAAAAAGATTCCTAGTGTATGGATCGTTTCGCTTCCATGTGTTGTCTGTGAACGTGGGGGGTGGGGGGTCATTTCACTTTCATGAAGGTCTGTGGGCATGCCAGGCTTATAAAGCGCTGGGGCAAACCCTGCGTTACATTAATAATAAGCTTTTTTTACATTTTATTTAATAGCATATCAATGCACTAAGCAACGATAATGGGGTGACTTTTATTGCAAAGTTTTACCAGTTCATCTTTGATTCTCACTTCTGTCAAGTAAAGACAAGGAAACCATGAAGAAAACATTTAATAGTTTAATCATAAGCTGCTGTATACATTCAGTGATTATTCCGATTTTTATGTTGCCAGAAGCCATGGGTGAGACCAGCAAAACATTCAGCTACAAGATCTAGTTTGTTGTATGCAATCTATCCATTTCCATTCATATACTTCCACATTATACATACTGTGTACTGTAAAGCAACATCAAACCCCACTGCTGATGTGCAACACGGTTCTTGGAACACCTTCGCTTGTTCAAACACGATTCCACCCAGTCTGTAGTGTGGTGCTCGTGGGAGGGGAGAGCCCTGTTTCTACCACTGTGGTCTAAACCTTGCTTTTAAGATCAGATGAACACAGATGGCACATGGTGATAGCAATGCTGAGCAAAGCTAGTTTGTGTGTCAGAAGGCCCTCGGCTGCAGCTGGAAAAGAAGTCCAGAACAAAAGCTGTCATATAGGTGGAAACCTGTCAAAGCCGGAAGAACTCTGGAAGCTGTTCTTTCTGCTCCTGAGACACATGATTAAGGAACATCCCCTCCGATCAGTACAGTTTTGTTTACCGGTACATCTTTTTTGGTTTCTTTTGCTATCTCACTCTAAGCTCTTGAACTGACACACTAATGTTGGTGCTGAAATTGCTTTTTTTGTGATGATTTTTTTTTATTTGTTTGTTTTTTTGTTTTATTTTTTTTGTCCTTTTACATTTTCTATTAGCCCACACAGAAACTGGATGGCACAAGAACTGACCAATAAGAAACTCTTTACAACAAGGTAGACTGCAAGTCAACGGTTGCCAGGGATCACACAGTAAACAAAGCAAAAGAATAATAAAAAAATAACAATTAATTTTAAAAAAAAGCTAAAGAAATTAAAATCATGTTCAATATAAAAGCAAATGACAAATGAACCAAAGCAAGTTAATTTCAAGTATAACTTACTCATAAAATAACTACACAGCATTAAATATTCTCATTATACATTTTAAATTATTTATAAAATATATTTTGGCTTATATTTTTTTTATTTTTGTGTTTGTGTAACAAACGCTACCATAGCTTCAGTTGAACACCAATGTTTATTTGTTTTTTTTTCCTTTTGAAACAAAACAAAGGGATTGTCACATAACAACAGGTTATTAAAAATGATAATAATAAACCCTATAGAGGGTTTCACAGAGCAAGACATGAGTGACGATCCCTTCTATCCTAGCCCCATAGTCAAAAGTCAAAAAAGTACAAGACCAAAGCACATAGCTCTAAAGTTGTGCTCCACTCGCTACAATCAAGGTTGGGCAACGGATATTTCAAAAGTAGCAAGTCTGTTTTCACACAGCTCATTTCAAACACAAAGGTCTGGCTGTCCCACTTCCAGTGTTCAGAGTGGTTTTGGAGATTGCAGAAGTTCATTAAGCTCCTTCCGTGATAAAATATAAATACTTTAAGGACCCAGTCTGATGCTGCTTGATGTCCTTGGGTAACGGTGTCTCTTATTAGTCAGGGAGATGGGCAAAAAGGACAGAAGGGCCTTTGATCCCTTCTTCTTAATGCACAGCAAATTGCTGAAGGAGTGAATGTGTGTGTGCATCTGTGTTTATTACAGTGTCAGAGCTCACTATACAAAGGAACAAGGAGTGATTTTGGCAGCTAAAACAGTCTGCAAAACCAAAGAAGGCAAATGTCAGTTTGTCATACAAAAGTAGTTCAAAAGGCATAAGTACGTATGAATCGGCACCTCAGGTGTCCAAACACATTTAGTGTCCTGCTTTGGCTCGAGGGCTGGAGAGCCCCACTGGCCGTGTCCATGCAGTCAACAGTAACCTGCCTGTTCACTTGCTGCAGACTGAAAAGAAAGAAAACTGAACAAAAAGCAAACGAGGAAAAAAAGTACCGCAACTACAACAAAGCCACATCCACTACTGGGGCTTGAGCACACGCCTAGCTGCAGCACTCTACAGCTCGTTATCTTCGGCCCAAGCTGGTTCTTAAATTTTGTGTACTGCAAATGGCTGTGTCTCTACACTTCCACAGCTTGCCTGTGAACACACAGCTATTGCGGGGTAAATATATATATATGTGAGTTTACACTATGTATGCGTGTAGGTGTGTGTTATCGAGATGCTTGCTAAAGCACAATGTCCTTCAGGCGCTTGCTGCTGGGAGATTCCTTGTCCCGGCCATCTTGGAGAAGCGTGTTGATCTCCCTGACAGCCGGCTCACTGTCCTTCCCCTCAGGTTGCCGCAGCAGGCTGTGGTTGGCGATTCGCTCTGCGTCGCGGCATTTCAGTGTATTGTAAGCGGATGACTGCTTGGATACGGGGCTCTTCAGGTGCACAGGAGAAGTAATGGGGCTGGCAGCCTCGCGCCCGTTGCCAGCTTCACGTACAGCCCCTCCATTGGCTTTAGGGCTGCACACCTGAGACTCCTGAGTCCGCTTTCCTTTTATCTCTCCTCTTTCAACATCCTCTGGCCCATCCTTGCCAAAGGTGGCAAAAGTCCTCTTGATTGTGCCATCCTCATAATGTGGGACATCCACTGTGGTGGCCTCGATAGACAAAGCAATGACATTACGACCATGTTCCGGAGATTTGGCACGTGCTGGGACAGGAACGCGAGGCATCCAACAGCGATCAGAGTGACCTAGGATGCGACACTCATCCTGGCAGTGAAAACCCTCACTTGGATCTGTGGAGAACAAAAAACACAAAGTTAGATTTGTCTCAAAAGTAAACCTAATAATCAAACTGTCAGAATTTAATGTGACCACTCATACACATTCTATTTATCTGATCCATTTATCCAAATTGTATAAAAAATAAATCAAAAAGAATGCATTATGTTTTAGTTCAAACAAGCCAAACGTGACATTTCCTAATAATTTGATTTTCTTCTTTTGAGGACGATCTACATCCACTCAACGCTGCAGTTCCCTTTACCCAACTCATTGATAGCAGGAGCTGGATGTTTGGGGCACATCTAATATGCCAATTAAATTATGTACTGTCAAATCAAAAGTCCATTTGCAGCTCCTGTGTAATTGGGTTTCCTCTGGCAACGATGGCTAAAAAGCAGGTTTAAACAGAGCAATCAGACATGTCAGAGAGCGACACCAGACGAGTTGTGGTGTTGCTGCCTGGTCCGTGTCTCGCCCCCTCTCTGTCTCTGTCATCTGGCGCCAAGTTATAAATATGTAATGATGTTTAACGCTGGAGTGAAAAAAAGATTTGTCTGAGTCTGTGGAACTGCTCTGCACTTTGTTGTGTTGGGAGAAAACTTTCAAGAAGATTTTTGCATTAGCAGTTGCAGCAAAACTCTGTTAGAAGTATCACATTCCCCATGATCACTGTGAAAAACCACCAAAAACAGGCAGCTGGGTGCTGAAAGTCCTCTAAATTCAACTATCTTTTCATTTGTCGTTTGTGGACTTCATCTAAAAATCGATGTTGACTGACATGATTTTGTAGAACATCAGAAGTAACTCTGAAAATGACTTGACATAAGAAAATGGAGCAGCTAATTTCCCCCAAATCCCCCTTTGATTTCTAAGAGTGCTTCTACTTGCTTTAATCTCTAAATGAACCTGCCACACACACGCACAATGACACATTTTTGTGCTTTCCTACTGCTTGTTTCACTCCTAGCGGCAGACATCCTGTTTCAGAGTACCAAGATGACAAAAAAGGAATTGTGAGAGGGACTGCGATCGACCCAAATGCATATGCTTACATCTGGCAATCGCAGCTTGAAAGATTACCTAATTAAAATCACTAATGATCTGTTTTTCTCCCTTCTTTTCTGCACTTGTGAGAGGCACCTCTGCTAAGGCCCTGGGGATCGATATTTAAAGATTGGAGATGGGCTTTTCAGGAACAGATATATCAAAGCTGTCTCTCATAAAGTATAAACTGATGGAACTGACAGACACTGTGGAAATGACTAGACCGACTGGGTGAGAAAAGGGGGGTTGAGTGGAAATTTGAATCCAAATATAAGCTGAAACTAGAATGGCAAGCCACCCTATACGTAAACATATAGTCTGGCCACGAGCCATTAAAACAACCCAGTCATGTGGCGGAATCTATGATAGTCTTCAAAACTGTCTCCACACAAGATTGGACAGCTCTAGGACCAATCAGAGCAACAAACAACGTGACATGTTATTTGCTACTGAAACAGTCAACAGGGCAGTTCACCGTTGGCCTGGCCTGCCAGACTCCTCCTCTGTTTAATTCTACACAGAGAAAGACTCTGGTTACTCACAGGCAGAGAGGCACATGAGGGGCGGGACTAGCCAGCTCAAAAATAACCATTCAGAAAAAAGGTGGAAATGTCGACTGTACCGCGCAACGCTGTAGTTTTTTAGCTGTAGTCAAAAATGGTGTCTGGTGACAGTGCAAACTTTTTTTTTTTTAGAAGAAAAACTTTTAGCGCTTCTACTTGTGGTTTAAAGTCATGTCCAATTCACAAACTCAGCGTTGCGGTGTGTGTTGTACACTGCTCAGCGCTGATTGGCTCAGTTAGGGGGTGGGGTTATTTGAATAGAACAGTTCCCATACCCAGTTCCCATAAGGAAGCATTGGGTCTGGCTGGTCAGACTAGTTTATCATCAAAGAAGAAGCAAATACCTCCTTTATCAAAATAAATGATACAACTTTTACCCGCTCTTGTCTCAAAGAAAAGTCTAAATCTAAATCGTCCAAAGTTGATTTCAAAGGCATTTCAAACAAATGCCACTCATGAGCCGACACCATGTTTGTAGTTTTTCTTTGCCCCAGCTCTGGTGTTAAAACTGCCCCATACATGTAGAGTGCTGTGATTGGCAAGACACAAAACTGTTCGAGGCAATGGTAGGCCTGCTAAGGCTACAATGGAGTGTGGCCTTGTAGACATGACTACGTAGATGCTCCATTGGGCGCTGGAGTGCATAACAGAGTCACCACCATATTGGGTAGGTCTCCTCACTCTCCAAACCCAAATGGAGTCAACTCAGAATATGCCTGTTTTCATGCAGCCTACGATTGCAACAACTGGTATACTATTAAAAACAGATCACGTTGTTGAGATTTTATATTTTAATTCATTTTATTTAATCATATTCATATTTTAACTATCATGCCACACTATATGTCTGATTTTATAAAAAAATCTAACAAAAATGTGTTTTTATGTTGGATGAGCACCTTCCTCAGGAGAAATAAATGCACTGGGGTTAAATGGAGACCCATTCAAGATGGCAGCGAGCCACTACGGCAGCGCCAGTCCACGGGGCGTCTACGTATATGTGTCTGTACATGGCTAGAGAGACCTGCAGAGGAAAATATTTTGCTACAGCTGGTCTAGATTTCTAGGCTAGACACATACAAATAAAACCAAACAGGGTGGACCATGAATGCGACCCTTTCAGAGTAACACACAGGGTTCTTGGAAGGTTTTTTTTATCTCTGCCTAAATCCACACATTGTGAAGCATCTGTCATCCACATCATTCATAAATATGAAGCTAACGTAGAGCTAAAAGATTTTATGAAGCTAAACAAAACAAATAAGCAAAACTATGATCCCCAGTAGCTGAAGCTTGTGTAATATAAATGCATGCTGATTAGGCCAGCGAGCTGTGGTGGCGGCAATCAAGGAGACAAAAGGCTTTCTATTTTTTAGGTATGCAATCAGGATGTAATAATGCAATCACCGGAAATACTCTTAACCAGCTACCATGAACATAATGAAGGACAACGAACGACAACTACACACATAACTGTAGATAATGGGTAACTAATGTTGCAAAACTGCTACTCATTTTAAGCCATTTACAAACCCCATGATTGTTCTTCAACCCTATGTAATCACATTTTGAGTGACAACTTTTTATTTTCACCCATTAGAATCAAAAAGCCAACATTCAGTCTTCTTGTCAACACAGAGATCGAATCTAAGTTCTGTACGTAACACAAAACCCACATTTCAGCTATATTTAGTCATGAAAATTCAAGCCATAGCTGGCTTGACATATTTGATAAAACAGATCTTTTCTTCCTCCGTCGATTAAAAATTTACAAGCATCTTGGTAATGAATGCAATTTCCTCCAAACACTTTGGCTTATTTCTACAGCCTAAAGCACCCTCTGAGGAATGAAAAGCCTTAAGGCACAAAGAATTATACACAAGTTGCATGCTCTCAACATGCATATGCAGTGAAAGCCATTTTCTCTTCTTTCCTTTAGGGGTCTATCGTAGAGCAACTGGGTTGTAAACGACATTGTTATAGAAGCCAAGTGCTGTTAACACACACATCCTGCCTCTGCTCAGAGCTTCATAAAACGCAGATGTTTCTCTGAAAGACTCACAACAAAATGGAGAGAAAATTGAAATAGAAAATGTGACAGGCCATCGACCTCTGACAAAAACCTAATCTCTTCCTCTAACACCCCCCCCCCCCCAAAAAAAAAGAAGAAAAAAAAGAAAGAGCTAACCATGATGGAAAGAGATGAATTAAGGGCTTTTACAGCAGCACTTTTGGTGAGTTATTGGGAGTCAATACCAAGGCAGTGAAGACACCTCATAAAGAGAATTTGTATTCAAAGTCATCGAGAACAGTCAGGAAATAAGGCTTGCCAGTCAGAACAGATCTAAAGTACAACAGGATGTCAGTGTTTCCGATCACATCATAATACCTAACGAGCGTGGTTCACTGGGAGGCAAAAGATGCTTTTGTTTAGTTTCTGCTATGAATTCAGAATTCAACGTAATCTAGAATAGAATAGACTTTATTAATCCCACAGTGGGGAAATTCACTTAGAGAAAAGGAAGAAGAAAAATAACAAAATTACAAGTAAACACACACAGGCATTAAGATGTAACCTTCAACCACTAAAAACAACAAATAAAAATAAACTTGTGTTTCCAGAACTATGCAGCATAAGAGACACAGACATACTAATGCACACCTGGAACTGCACATGTTTGTAACATATACTAAATGTTGCATTGTATTGATGTTATTGTGTAACAGGATAATGCCAGTACCAGTTAATGGTAAAATAGTTCAATGGTAAAAAATAAAAATAAAAAAAAAATCTGTCTATTCAGAGAATAAACACCATTAAATCACATATTGCATTTAATACTGAAAGGAGGTCAAATGGCTGTAAAATGCAGACGGAAAAGGTCTCTAGGCATTAAAAAAACATAATACCACAACAAACGCTCATGCCCAATCCTCCTGATAGCACTGTCCATGTTTTTCTGTTTATAGTTACCTCAAATAGCATCAGCACAGGGAGCAAACCCACACCGTTGCTGCCATTTTATCTGAAATGTGCAGCTTGCCCGCTGCAGAGGCAGATCTGTCTCTTTCATTTGATCAGATAAAGGCATGTGAACTTTAAGTTATAGCTCACAGATCTTTAGTTTTACCATGGAAATCCAGCATCCTGACTCGCCTATTGCTCAGTGCAGCCCTGTGTACAACAGCATATAATGATCCCTTCTTGTTATACACCTGCAGGCACTGTTTGTTTGTTGTTAATGTAGCAAAAAACGAGGAATCAGCAAAAGACTCAAATCCTCTGACACAAAAGTAAAAGGGATGTTCTCAAAGGGAAAGGCAACTCCCCGTAAAACTCCTCGAGCTTTCATCAGCTATTTTTTGTCATCTCTGGCAAGCGTGTGGACCCGGTCTTGGAAAAC